CAATTTTAATATTATTTTTATAGAGATCTCAATATAAATATTTTTTTCAAAATCTTATATCTGCATATTCATATGCAGAGCAAATCAAAAGTTGTATATTTAAAAAGAATTAAATTTTTTAATCACATATATTGTATAATAAAATAAGTTTCAGAAATAATAAGCGTCTTTAATTTTCAAATATTTCGCATTAATGATACCTTGACGCACGTAAATACAAATGGCTTCTAAAAAGAAGGAAACTTTCCTACCTTGATGTCGCCTTGGATCAGAAGGTTGATTCCACTAATATCCCGTCGTCATTCTTGAAGACCTCTAAGGTATCGCAAATGCAGTACAAGCGTAATTGGATGCTCGGATGTTTCCATACAATTGACCGGGAGTTTCCGTACTTCATCTCGCGCGGGTGAAATTATTCCATGTTCTCGCGATTACACTATAAGCATAACATAATGATTAACTGATATTTTTTTAAACTGATTATACGTGTTCTCTTATATACCATATTTTCTCTTTTTATACCATATTTATTGTTAATAAATTAAAAAGTCATTCCTAGCAAATAAAAATTCGCAAAAAAAGTACTGTGAGATAAATTATTCTATTAATCATGGCAATCATAGTGATCATTAATTAGCAATTTTAATTGTATTTTATTACTAGATCTATTATATCTACATATAAATCTCTCAGGAACCCCACAACTCTAAGCTTGAACAAAGTGTTTGATCTACAAAGGGTTTTCAAGCCGCTAGAATTTCTGAATCCAAATAAACGATACTGAGTCTGGCATATTAGACTTTATAAAACTAGAACTTGACAAAACTCCATTGAAGAATCCCGTTTGAAAGTAAGAATACATATCTATTCTCACAATTAATTTAAGGAGACTCCTTCAAGTTTACTTCCAATATAATTGCGAGCGGCTAGAACACTAGCTCAGAATATATCCGAGAAATCATAACTTTGAATCTATCTCTGCCACAGCTAGGTTAGTCCATAGTACATTGGTCTATAGTACGCAATAGTCCGAGATAGTCCCAGATTTGACATAAATTCTATATCAGACTCGTAGTGCTCGAATGGTTAAAAGATAGTTCCTTCCATCCTTTTAATTTACGAAACAATTACAAACAATGATTACAACTAATAAAAAAGTTATCGTGACCAATGCCATTTATTGTACCCCATATATTCTAATTAAATAAAATGCTTTCTACAACCAGTTATTATACAATTATAAGAGCGTTAATTATAACTATAAATACAGCATTAATAGATTTTCCACTTCTATTCTATAAGCGATGATAGCGACTAATCAGAAAATGATTACATTCAGTGCTAATTACTACCAATTATTATAGTTATAAATACTCTGAATTATTACACATAAATATAATGTATTTTAATTATAATTCATATTTACTCATGTACAAAATTTTAAAAACGTGAAAAATAAAAAATAACTATATCGATTTTGTGATTTTAATCTACAGAATAACTACAGTAGTAATCACAACTAATGAAAAGATTATTATCATTACTATTCCACATTCCAAATAATTATGCACAATACAACGATTATAAAAGTAACTACATTGACTTCAAAATTTTAATTTATAAAATAACTACAAACATCGCGGCTAATAAAAAAATTATCGCAATCACTATTCAATTACTACATTATATTTTATATATATA